GTTGGCCTCCCAAAGTGCTGGGATTACAGGCATGAGCCACCTTGCCCAGCCTAGTGGTGGCACTTCTGGGCAAGATGCTGTGCTTGGCTACTCAGCAGTGGTTCCCAGAGAGGCACAGAGCCAGTCCCCTTGGAGAGTAGAAACCAGAAAATTCCTCTGCACTGCCCACACCCTTGCTCAACTTTGGGGGAGATGAAACCAAAGAAGGTAGGAGCCTATCAGAAGAAGGAGGACTGGAAACACCAGGAGAAGGGGGGAATTTGGGGAGGTGTTGATAAAGGGGATGATATATATGGCCCTGAGGCTGGATTCAAATAAAGGGCATGAGCTTGGGGCTCAGTGCAGAGGCAGGCTGGCAGAGAGGCAGAGAGCAAGAGGTACATCCAGACGTGTGGAGCTCTCTGAGGGCATGGGCTTTGAGTTTCCTGCCTGGCTGGAGCTCACAGGCTCTCCCTTCTTCCCACATTGTCACAGGACCAGATCGATCCCTTAACCCTGAAGGAGATGCTGGAGAGCATCCGGTGAGAGCCTGCCTTCCCCTTCATCCCTCCCCTCTCCTTCATCCCATCTAAGCCCAGGTTCCCATTCCTCCACTTAGCTGCCATGCTGGCCTCTCTCTTTGCAGGGAGACAGCAGAGGAGCCTTTATCAGTCCAATCACTCAGGTAAGGGCCCTGTGGAGGGCCAGGGCTTGGGAGGCTCTAGGGGGAGGAAGCAGCTGCCAGAATGATGGAGGAGGGCAGCCAGGCCGGGGCCTGCAGATGCCAGTTCTGTGTGTGTCTAGTTTTCTGCAGCTGGAGCTGAGTGAAATGGAGGCATTTGTAAACCAACACAAGTCCAAGTCCATCAAGCGGCAGGTAATACACCCTTCTCTTTTTATTTCCCTGTAAAAAAAAAATTTATATATTTTTTAAAAGACCACTTAATATCAGTGGTAAATTCTATAAGGAAACCCAACCAGTGTGTCTGCTATATCCCTTCCAGCCATGCCATGTGTGTATAGTCATAAAGCTGCAGTGCCTTCCATGTTCCAGTTAATAGTGACAGCTTTTTTTTTTTTTTTTTTTTTTTTTTGAGACAGTCTCATTCTGTTGCCCAGGCTGGAGTGCAGTGGCACAATCTCAGCTAACTGCAACTTCCTTCTCCCGGGTTCAAGCAATTCTCCTGCCTCAGCCTCCTGAGTAGCTGGGATTACAGGCATGTGCCACCATATCCGGCTAATTTTTGTATTTTTAGCAGAGATGGAATTTTGCCATGTTGGTCAGGCTGGCCTTGAACTGCTGACCTCAGGTGATCCACCCACCTCGGCCTCCCAAAGTGCTGGGATTATAGGCGTGAGCCGCTGTACCTGGCCAACCACTCACATCTTTGAGTTACCATTAACATCTAGAATGGGAATAGTTACTACTAATATCTGTCCACATTTTTGTAACCTTTCTCCTTCCATTAGGCACTGAAAATCATTCCTCTTTTTAAATCTTTTTTGGGGAAGGGTGGAGCTGGGTCTCCCTCTGTCACCCAGGCTGGAGTGCAGTGGTGTGATCATGGCTCACTCCAGCCTCAAACTCCTGGGTTCAAGTGATCCTGCCCCTTCAACCCCCTGAGTAGCTGGGACTACAAGTGCATGCTACCACACCAGCTAATTTTATTATTTTTATATTTTGCAAAGACGGGGTCTCACTTTGCTGCCCAGGCTGCTTTTGAACTCCTGAGCTCAAGCAGTCCTCCCACCTCAGCCTCCCAAAGTGCTGAGATTACAGGCGTGAGCTGCTGTCCAGCCATCTTTTTCAGTCTTAAGGATAATTACACAATGAGCAGCTTTATCTAAATAAAAACATTTTGTTTCTGCTAATTTCTGTAGGAGAAATTCCTTACAAAGGAGATCTTTTATTTTTTGTTTTCTCTCCAATTATAATTACAAAAGGAACAAGTAGGCCGCCCAGCTAATTTGTATTTTTAGTAGAGCAGGGGTTTCTTCATGTTGATCAGGTGGGTCTCAAAACTCCCAACCTCAGGTGATCCACCCATCCCAGCCTCCCAAAGTGCTGGAATTAGAGGCATGATCCACTGAGCCTGGCCCAAATATTTTTTTAAAATATGACTTAAAAAATGACTGCAGCTGGACATGGTAGCTCACGCCTATAATCCCAGCACTTTGGGAGGCTGAGGCAGGTGGAACACAAGGTCAGGAGTTCAAGACCAACCTGGGCAACATGGTGAAACCCTGTCTCTACTAAAAATACAAAAATTAGGCCGGGCGCGGTGGCTCACGCCTGTAATCCCAGCACTTTGGGAGGCCGAGGCGGGTGGATCACGAGGTCAAGAGATCGAGACCATCCTGGTCAACACGGTGAAACCCCGTCTCT